GAATCAAGATCGTATTCGTACGTGACCAAAAGTGTTTTGAGAATGAGTAATACTGTGTAAGACTATTCTTTTTACTTATAATTCAGCACGAACATTTGATAATTTTAAAAATAAAGAGAAAAAAAACAAGGAAGAAGTTCAAATGGAATTTACATAAAAAGTTGTGAAAAGGAAAGGGGACGATTCTTCATTGATCAGAATTGTCTACGGATTTTTCATCTTTGGAATATTTTCAATAATTTTGTTACTGAGCGATCAAGAAAAAATTACTTTAAAAAAAATATCTTTTGATAAACATGTAATTCGGGTCTCCTTATAATTCAGTATTCTCCTTATAATTCAGCTTAACTATTTCAATACAACATGTTTGCTTGATATTCTAATTAATTGACCAATGTACTTATATTGTAGTTATAAACAGAAACACAGGTAATAAAACAAAATATCTAAATCGTTTTAATACCTGAACATTCAAAGTTCTGTTTATCTTCACAAGATATTCGAACGAATAAATGAAAATAAAAGTTTTCCATCCTACAATAAGGACGACACAGAATGCGTGTTATATATTTCTGTACAGAACAACAAGATCGTTTTATTTTTACTTATATTATTTTTATGTATAATAGAGAAATAATTATCTAAAACATTTGTAAATATATAGTAACTTCTTTCCCCAAGAAATAAAACTATTCAATAATTTTGATATATTTAAAAAGACAGCACGAATTATATCTATGTATTATATTATAATTGATAAATTAAAATAAATCGATCCAAAAAAAAAAGAAAAAATATATCAAATCAGATCAAATATTCTCTCTGGGAATATATAAAGAACATCGATGAAAATAAGTCGTTTTAGTTGAAGTCGAGAAGCTTCCGAAACCGTGAATATCGTCCTCGATATTTCCACTTTTAACTCGACATTGAGATATCGAAAACGGACAGCAGTTCGCTTCCTTTCTATCAGTCGACAGACTCGATCCTCTTAGATCCTTTTTAAACGATTTTTATCTCTACATCTGTAAGTTTCTTCTTTTACGGAAAAACCATCGATTCAATTTTATTCTTCGTTCGAATATAAAATTAGCTGAATATAATCTTTATCGATAGAAAGTTTAAGATCTATTAATGTCCACTTACTTTATCATCCTTTTTTCTATACATTTACATCAGCAAAATTTTGATAAATATTCGAATAACTTGTTTCAAATGGTCCATCAATTTTATAATGAGATAAAATATTTCTTACGTAAGCGTATTCTTCTTGATTGGAACAGAAATTTCATTAGGAAAATGTTTCCAATTGTTTCTAAATTTTTATTGGATCGATCAAAAAATTTCTTTCCTCTTAGTACAAAATCACTTCGAAGAAAAAATAAAAAAATAACAGAAAAATAAATAAATAAATAAAAAAGAAGAATAAAAAATAAAACGAATACATAAATTTTCAATAAGTCCAATATTTTATTGGACATTATTGGTTATTTTTAATGAGCGAAGGGACGAATTTTTGATCGAAAATTGGATTTTTCTTTTATTCGGAGATTAATTAACGAATAACAATAGCTTCTAGCAGAGAGATGAACGCGATTTACGCATGATTTTTCAAAACAGTACCACGCCTGGGTATATACGATCTATCGATAAATTTGGTGAATATTAACACCAGAGAATAAAGAAACGACGTTCCGAAGCTTTCCATTTTCTTCTAAATATTAATACGAGATAACAAAAAGAGCAGTAGAATGGTCCCCTTCTATTTGCGGTACGTAAATGAGAAAAACGATCTTTGATAAACAATCGATATACGAGGTAATTTCAAAGAATATATATATACACATCAAATAGTATGAATGTTTAATACAAATTTTATTTTAAGGAAATCTCGTCCATAACGATTATCGTTTTATTTCATCCAAAATACGCATACGTAAAATTTATTTATTTACTTATTTATTTGATTTAATTTACATTACCTACGAATTTGTATTTTTTAGAAAACTATCGAAATATTTTTATTTACTTTTTATCTTGTATAATGAGCAGAATGATTCTTCAAGATAATCATTCGAAACTTTTATTTATTAATTTTTTTTCTTTAACATTTAAAATTCAGAAAGAAACTAAGCTCATGTATACTATACATATATGTGTAATAAATATAAAATTATAATAACATTGCTTCATTTGGAAAAAAAAAATTAAAATAAAATTAAACACACACGGATGTAAATACAAATTAATAAAATTCAAATAAATTCATATTGTGCTATAGTGTCTTATATAACATTTGACTATTAAAATAAAACACATTTGATATTAATATCAATGATTATAAAACAATAGCAATATTTGTTAGCAATATTTCTTAATGAGTCGAATTACTCGAAAGGAATCAATCCAGTTAAGATTTTAATCTTACCTATAAAAAGAAGAAAACTAAAATAAAAGCGAAAGAAATAGAAAGAGAGAGACAAAAAATTGAAAAGTAAGAAAAAGAAGGTTATAACATCGAGAGATACTCTTTAGGTAACTTGATTCTAATACCGTTCGAAGCTCCCACTAATTGCTTTCGAGCAAATCAACAGGATCGTCAAAAAACATTCAAAAGTTGGCTGCTACTGATTAATATGGATTTTTAAACATTTGAATTTAATCTGAAGAATTTTGTTAAAAGGAATTGTACGATTTTCTAAAGTATTCAGAGACTTTTAGTGTTCACGAAATATTTCTTTTCTTTTTTTTTTTTTTGTTTTTCACATACAACTGATTCAAGTCACATAATTTCTGCGTTTGTGTAGATGTAAAAACAAAAAAGAAAAAACAAAAAATAAAAAAAAAGGCTAAGGAACATCGACGCATGCGTGGAAATAACGAAGTTCGAAAGGGCAAAGAGCGAGAAATAACATCGATGCGATTAAACGAAATACATTCGAATCGTCTCCGATAGCCATAAAAGCGAGTTCGGGAGATGCTTTTAGTCGCAATGAATACGTGTAGTGGTTCACGATTGCTCTAAAGTCGAAACCCATTTTATTCAAGTTAAAATTCCGAATTTCGTCTGCAAGGGAAACGAGCGTTTCCGATGTAAAGTAAATATCTTTTGAACGATCATAAACGCGAACCCGGTTGCATTTCTAATCGATACGAAACGCTTCTGTTTTTTCCATTTAAAAATAATTGAAAACGTTATATGATCTTGATATATATAAATAAATAAATAAATACATAAATAAATAAATAAATAAATAAATAAATAAAAAAACAAAATGTTAATTATACATATATCCGTACGAATGTATAGAAATATATAAGATAGCATTGTTTTATGAAAAATTATTATCGATAAGAAAGTAATAGAATATTTCGTTTGGAATAGATTGATACTATACAACTGTATATATGTAAACGATTGAAATTCGAAAATTTCTCGATGTTTTTCAACCAACTTTCTTCTCTTCTTATCTTATCAAAGAGTACGTTCGAAGGGAATAAGAGCGACGTTACGGTGAAAATAACGCAAAGCCGCGAGAAAGAGGAAGGAAAACGGAAGAACCTTTGCGCTCAAGATTTGTACGGTAAACAAGAGAAAGAGAGAGAGAGAGAGAGAGAGAGAGAGAGAGAGAGAGAGAGAGAAAGAAAGAGCTTTTTGTACGTCGGATTTGTAAAATTGATTCCACCATCGAGTTCGTGTTTACGACGTCGCCCGTTGCACGAACGACAAGCCGTGGCCCGAGGAAAAGAAAGACGATTTATTTCGCGTCAGCTTTTTTCTCTATTTCCCCTTCTTCATCCCCTTTTTCCTTTCTCTCTCTCTCTCTTTCTCTTTCTCTCTCTCTCTCTCACTCTTTCCCCCTCTTTTTACTCCTTCTTTCTCGACTAAACGCCACGGACGTTCTACGTACATCCACCGAATGATACGAAAGGAGAAGACTAGTTCACCAACCTGTTTTCCTCAAGCCTCTTATCGACGACCATCCCCCCTTTCCTCTTTCTCTCCCCCCCCCCCTGAAGTTCCGCCCAATCCACCATTCTCTTACTCTTCTCTTCGAAATTCACGGACTCGTACCTTTCTTCTTTCTGCTTCTTTTTCTTTTTCTTCTTTGGATTCTGTTCCTCTCTTTCTTATCAATCTCCTTTCCATCCTTTCCCCCTCCGCCATTCCATCCACACCGTTTCCTCCACTCTTTTTTCTTCCGCTACAAGCTCTATATCTCCACGAGATTTTAATGTCAATGCTCGTCGTCTTCTCAAAGCTCTTCTCGCACTCGTGAACGGTAAGAAAGTAAATTTATGAGCGCTTTTTTCTATTTCCGCCTCTCCACTTTACTTTCGTGTATGAAACGAAAGTAAAATGCATGTAGCGTGTATATTATATCGGGTGATATTAATAGCACACAGGAAAAAGTATAATCCCCTATATTATAAGTCGTGGTAAATATATTGGTCTTATTAAGTATGAAATATGAATATGAAAATGTTTAATTTGTTCGAAAATATACGTAGGATGTTTAATTAATACGAACGAAAGAATTTTTTGCTAATTTTGATATATATTATAAATAAAAGGATATATTGAACATCCTCAGAACATTTTTGTTTAACTCCAAACTAAATCGTATATCTCTTATTAAAATATTCTATATAAATTTTAGTTCTTCCTATTACAGCAAATAATACTTTTTCTTATTATTACAGCAATCTTGATTATTAAAACGATAATTTATTATCTTTAATTATCATTCAAATAAAAAAAAAATTAAAAAAAATTCGTATACCTAAATCGATATAAACTGACGTATATTAAGAACGTATCTTTCCTTGAAAAATATTGACTTAGTAATAAACTTATTAATCGACAATCGTCGTTGACGTTTGTCGTTAAAACGAGAAACTTGATAAAATTGATTAGAATAATTAAATCGTGAAAAATCAAACGGAATGTTCATTCCGACGAAGAGTTAACTTTGTTGAATAATTCAAAATTCACTCACCGACGACGTTGAGAGTGTAGTTCAACGACATCTTTGGTTCGGTGCTGACCTGGCACTCATAAACCCCGGAGTCTCGTTCTTGAGGCGATTTGATCTGCAACGTCCAGTTCTCAGAGTTTTCCGGATGGATTACTAGGAACCTCAGATCTGAGGTATACATAAGGATTCCAGCGCTAAGGATATGCATATCTCTCTTCCGCATCCAAGATACCTGTGAAGTAAATGTATGTCAGTCAACATCGAACATTTTCTTTCTTTTTTTTCTCAAATTTTGAAAGATACCTCAATTATATACATATATCTTTTTATACGTATACTTAGATATATAAATAGTTTCAATATTTGTATAAATATTTTCAGTTCAAGTATTTGTATATGTATATCTTATAAAAGCGTCTTTTTCATTAAGAATAAAAATATGTCGATATTTTAAAATAATTTGATATGAAATTTATATATCTATAGTTCGATTATACAGCATATGTATGTAATTATAATAAATATACTTTTTCCGTAGAACAGAAAAATAAGTCAGTTTGAAAGGCGAACGTAATAAAGCCAAGTTAAATACAACTATTTCAATTTACTTTAATGAAACTGAAATAATTAAAATAAAGTATGATTGAAATAATCGAGATGCCTCTCTTTCACTGTAAACAATTGTAAACAACGATTGATATTGAATGGTCCTATAACGCTTTATTATTCGTTGGTGTAATAAAATGTATAGTGACATTGATACGACTTTGTGATTATTCAAAACAAAAACAAATGAGAAACTGAAGAAAAATCGTCTAGATTTTAATGAACTTTGTGAAGCTCTAACGAACGGTCTGGCGTGTGATTTCGCGTTGTACAAACGTCCACAGGCTAATTCCAGCATTGCAGAATCCTGCACCGCAAAATAGAAGAGAGAGAGAGAGAGGGAGAGGGAGAGGGAGAGAGAGAGAGAGAGGGAGAGGGAGAGGGAGAGAGAGAGAGAGAGGGAGAGGGAGAGGGAGAGAGAGAGAGAGAGAGAGCACGAAAACTCGGAGTTCAGCACCAGTAATGCTAATCTAAACGAGCGAGAGTAGCAAGCGGCTTGTATCAAACGGATTGATCGCTCCTACCAGGCTACGATCCTCATCGATTGACCATGAATGTCACGTTGGAAATTGAGTTCCTTATGCAAGCTTCTAGAACCACTAAGTGAATCCAATATGTGTGATCAAAAGCATCCATAGGATTCTACGTTGTGGATATTTGAGAAGTTCCTGTTCGAACTCGGTAGTCGTTTGATCGATCTTCTAGCAATTATCATTCGATCGAATGATCTGATCATCGTTTAAAATTCTTTCTAATCGATACCTTTTGATTACATAAATATAATATATTGCGATCGTCGAATTTGATAACATGATGTTATTATACTGCATAAATGTTCGTCTTAAAAACTAATTAACGAAATTAAACAGATATAAAAGATTTGATAATAATAATAATTTATTAAAAATAAAAATAATAATAGATAAATAATAAAACTAAACACTATGGTGTCTCATAAATCAAGAAAAAATTCCATAAAAATTATCTCTGAAAAGTTATAAAAAAATCTTTTAATAGTAAATTATCTCAAATAGTGAAGAGATTTCATTGAACAGAGTCTTTTAATCAGTATTATATAACAGATAAACTTACTAAAAAATATAAAAATAAATCAGAAATTCTTGTTTAAGAAAATAGAGCTCTCTCTTTTACTTCGAAGATCCTTTTCGAGCGATGTCGGTTGACCTACTGGCAACTAATGCGTGTCTCTCATAAGTAAACGGGCGTCCTCGAGGAGCAGCAAAGCCGTGGATGTAAATAACAACATAAAGGGCGGAACGTACCGACGTGTTTAAACGTAGAACGATAAATCTTTCGAAGATCCAACAAGCCATTCAACTTAAGTGCTGAAAGAGGCTGTAAATTTCTCTTCTCATTTCTTCACGGAGAATTTCGGTGAATTTTGTAAATCTCGAAGATTTTATTGAAAAACAAATTATATGCAAGATAAAATCGATTATAATGTAATTATTGTATATATATATATATATATATATATATATATATATATATATATATATATATATATATATATATATATTACATTATCTCTCATATATTTCACCTATAATTTATCAATTTTCTCGTTTTCTTTGTATTATATATTTTTTCCCCTAGCAAATACGTATCAATCATTACACATATGTATATCTATATATTTCCATTTCTATTCCGATCGAAATTTAACACGAAAGTGAAATGAAGATGATATATGTATGCACACATCAAACAAAATAATTATTCATGACGAATCGACCAATTCGATATCGTCATGATTAACATTGGCCAATGATCGGCATTGCTCGGTGTCTATGTCATAAACGCATACCACATCGATTATTACGATTGCTTGGATAATCATGAACGGATGATGCCTCATGGGCATTAGATATAGACCCTGATCTCTCACGATGAGCACAGATATATCAAAGCGAAAACCGATTAGGCAATTCTTTATTTTTCTGATCAAACAAGACGATGTTTCTTAAAAAAAAAAGAGAAAAATTGAACGTTGCAACTTTGTGTTTAAGTACATGTGTGATAATTATGAATAGATCTAATAATGAACGATCTCATTTGATAAATTGTTAAATGTAGATATAATATACCATGTCTATACATTTATATATATATATATATATATATATATATAATGATATACATATGTAAAATGTACAGTTGACGATATTATTAAATATTTAACAATAATAAGAAAAACAACTGATTAAAATATTACCGTTTAATAGCAAGAATGTAATATTAACATTTTCCATGAATGATCAGTATATAAATTATTTAATAAGATACACCTAAAACAAGTATAAGTATATATGAGAATTGTGTAATAATAATTTATTGATTCTTATTTATTGAAATTAATTGAATTTTCTCTATAGGTAGGCGTTATAATTAATAATATCGTTTGAAAATAAAATTAAAGGAAGGTATAGCATTCGGCATTGGATAGAATACGTTGAGCCAATGAATACATATACATATATTTATATGTATAAACGTGCATTTAATCAAATATTCTCGATTAAAATAGTATCACGGCCTCTATTCAAGAGCAAATATCATATGTACCTTTACCGATGGTTAATTATTATCGATACGATTATAGAATTTTCATGTATGAAACTTATTACTATAAAGTTTATATAAATTTTTTTTTGTTTAGAGGAATAAAAAATTGGAGTATGTAAAAAGGAAAAGAATGTAAAGCTCAGTGACAATAGCTCGCAAGTCAAAAACGAACTTTTTCGAACATGATATTTTATTATGCGATTTCCCATATATTGTTTGTAAAAAAGACAGAGCCCAACTTGTTTCATTGTTATCGAAATACTGCCATATAATATTATCGATTTATAGAATTCGAATCGTTATAACTTTTACTAATAAGTTACGAATATCCAAAATATTTTTTTTCATTATATACATAGAAAATTAATTATGCTTTTAACAAGCCATTCTTCTCGTTAATAATATACATATATCGCTTTTAATCAGTTAATTAAGGAACTCGTCACGAAAATGTAATTAAATACTGTGAAGTGATAAAATACTGAAGTCTTATATCATCTCTTCCTGACTTCTGTTAGTAAAATGTTCTCTCTTCTGTCTTCCTGATCTAAGATTTTATCATTTATAATTATGTACATATTTCTTTAAATGTTTCATTATTTAAAAAAAAAAATAGATTAGAAATGAATTAAGTTATATTCATGTTAGCTCATTCAAGATATCAATTAAACAACGATGATCAATTAAATAAACTTTTATTTCGAAATATAAAAAAATGATAATAAATGTCAATATATCTATGATATGTTTCAATGTTTCTTTTCTTGACGAACGAAGGTAGAATTAATATTTCGAGAAAATTCAAGAAAAAATACAAAAAAATCATCGAAAATAATCTTTTATTCAATGTCCAACTGAGAATATATTTATTTATTTACATGTGGCTGTTCATGTATGTATGCATGCAGCATGAATGCATATAAGTATATTAGGATGACTCTTGTGTTATGGTTTTGCTAGTACGTACTGTCTCACCATGTTCTACCAATTTGCATGTAATTTCTGTGCACCGCCAACGCTTTTCGTCTGAGTATTTCGGGAAATATACGAGAAACAAAAGACGCCTATGTATGTGCATTTGCCTCTATAGCACTAACATAGCTACTAACACTATTATAACACTACTATAGCTTCTACAACACATATAAGATACAAATATACTATTGAAAATAATTTAATTGTATATTAAACTGTCATCTGATGCTTTCCAAGATGTTTTTTTCTATTTACATATAACTATACTATTCAAAATAGCTTAATTGTATGTTAGCTGTTAACTGATACTTTCAAAAAAGTTTTTCTTTGTATTCAGATACAACTATATTATAGAAAATAACTTAATTATATGTTAGATTATTATTTAATGATTTCAAAAATGTTTTTTTTTATTCAAATTAAAAAAACCAAATTTCTACACGATTGTTTCATTTATATTTCACGTCTTTTTCAAAATCATTTTTTGTATTTAAATTAACAAATCAAATTATTATCCGATTCTTTCATTTATACATATTACAGATATTCTTTTTCAAAAAATGTGACTATTCTTTATTGGCTACGAATTGCACATACGATATAATATAAAAACTAAAAATATATATCGTTTATCGAAATTTATTTAACAAAAAAAATAATAATACATATTTTTTATCTTTTTTAATCATGAATGTATTTACAATTTATTTTTATAAATTGAGCCTTATGGAAAATTTGTATATATGTACACGTTGTTTCGATAACGACACTATTCGAGATTTTTCTTTTTTTCAGACAAAAAGCACACACGATCGATTTTTCATAATGTAAATGTAAAAATAAAATGACAAATTCTTTATTTCTAAAAATTAATTTTCCCGTCAAATGTTGAATTGACTTATTAATTCTGCGTTGGCTCAAAAGTGAATTTTAGTAAAAGTCAATAATAAATATATATAGAACGAGGCGAAGAAAATGGTAGCAATTTATAATTCAAACATTTCTTTATACTCCACTAATCACTATTTCGAAGTTATTGTTTTTACCGCGTAATGAGTTTGGGTT